TCCTTCCCTCCTCCCCTCCCTCCTCTTCTTCTCGTCCTTCCCTCCTCCCCTCCCTCCTCTTCTTTCCCTCCCTCCCTCCCTCCCTCCCTTCCTTCCTTCCTTCCTTCCTTCCTTCCTTCCTTCCTTCCTTCCTTCCTCAGGATGTAATCCCTAAATGCTGGGGTAATCACATCCCTGAGCCACCCAGCCGGGCTTGGGGTCCGGCGGGGCAGAGCGACGCAGGGTCTCGGGCCCGCGCAGGCGCTGTCGGCCGGCTGCGAGCGAACACAGCCCGTGCGGGCAGCAAGGCGCAGGGGCACCGCGCTGACAACCAAGAGCGCTCACCTAGGCCGGGCGGGCGGAGACTAACCCGGAGGGGAGGCGGGGCGAGGAGAACGCGATGACGTCAGGGCACGTCGCCGCCGAACGGCTGGCGTCCCGGAAGCGGCGGAGGCGGAGGCGAAGGGGGCTCTGGGACCTGCAGATTCCGGATAGCCCTGGGAGGCGGCGCCGCGTCGGGGCGGGGCGGGGCGGGCCCGGGGAGACGCTCTGGGGTGCAGGGGTCCTTCCGGTGCCCTCTGGCCGTCCCTGCCCCTCCTCTCTCCAAGCCAGTGTCCAGGTAGGTGGGGCCACCACGCCCCCGGCCCCGTGGAGGCCGATCTTGGGGGTAGCCTCTCTGGGCCTCCTTAGCCGTAGAGGCCTCTGCCGGTGCTGACCCGACCCTCTCGCTCTGGCATGTCCGGGTCCTTTCACCCTGGGTCGGGGTGCCCGGTGACCCTCTTTATCGCCTCCCTCCTTAGGTTCTTTGCCTAGGACTGGTTTACGTTGCCGTTTGCTCAGGTTTTGTTCACCTCCCCTTCCCCCCCCCCCTCCAGTAGCCACTTAGCGCTCAGAGAAGGACTTTGAAGTCAAGAAAAGAACTTAATAAAGGTTCCCAGGACTGCGTTAATAAAGGTGCTCTAAGGGAGGTGGGAATGAGACTTCCGGAAGGAAGGTGGTGGTGGCCCTCAGGGGCCCACGAAGTTGCTGGGCGCTGAAGGAACTGGAGTGGGTTAGAGGCTGAGCAGGGCAGGAGACAGTAGTAGTCCCGGAGAGATGTAGTTTCTTATTCAACAAGCAGTTACTACTAAGCACAAATGGTGTACAATAACAGTAATGAATGGAAACCCGCCAAAGTTAAAAGACCCGAAGAAAGCGAGGAGTTGTATTTTGGAGATATGATAAGGGTCATTAGGAAGAGTGCATAAAACTTCTGAAGCACTGGGAACTCCCAGTCCAGACTGGGGAGGTTGGCAGAGATTTCTCAGAGCAAGAGAGTGAGGTTTAAGGTGACACCTGAAGGAGGAGTAGGAATGAAAGATCTGGAGAGAAATTCTAGGACATCATTTCCTTTGAGATTGTTGGCTGCCTCCTTCCAGCAACTAAGTGTGCCTGCACATTATGACTTTAAAGTCTTGATGGAAACGAGCATTGATTAGATGGGAGCCTGAAAAACAGGATTTGTATGTGTTTGTGGATGCGTGCACGTGTGTGCATGCACACACACATGTAGGTGTGTACTAGAACTTGAACTCAGAGCCTGGGTGCTGTCCCTTAGCTTTTCCACTAAAGGCTGTTGCTCTATCACTTGAACCACAGCTCCACTTCTGGCTTTTGGGTGGTTAATTGGATATACAGTTTCAGGAACTTTCCTACTCCAGCTAGTTTTGTTCTTTTTTTTTTTTTTTTTTTTTTGGGTCCAGTCGTGGGGCCTGAACTCTGGGCCTGAGTGCTGTCCCTCAGCTCTTCAGCTCAAGGCTAACACTCTACCACTTGAGCCACAGCGCCACTTCCGACTTTTTTCTTTTTGTTTATGTGGTGCTGAGGAATGGAACCCAGGGCCTCAGGCATGCAAGGCAAGTGCTGTACCACTGAGCCACCTTCCCAGCCCCTCCAGCTAGTTTTGAACTGCAGACCTCAGATCTCAGCCTCCTGAATAACTAGGATTAGAGGTGTGTATTTGAATAATTCACTTTACCCTGTTGAACTGCAGCAGAACCCTGTGAAATGAATTTTCCAGACGTAGGAACCCTGTCCACCTCACTGTTAGTGCCACATGCAGTAATTCAAGGGGGAATGTGTGGGGGACTGGAAGTACAGTGCAAATATCAGGAATTATTATGGTTACAGGATGCAGACATCAGAGCGAGAGGGGAGTGGGCCAGAGGTGAGTCCCAGCGTGATGACTGAGGCTCTCCCAGAATCTCAACCTCCCCCTACCAAGACTGCAGCAGCATTTGATCTTTTCAACTTGGTCCTGTCCTACAAGAGGCTGGAGATCTACTTGGAACCTCTGAAGGATGCAGGTGATGGTGTTCGATATTTGCTCAGGTACAGTCTTTCTGGAGTACCCCTAGCCTGCTGGGCCTTCTAGCTCCCTGCTCCATAGTTGCTAGTCATCTAGGCAGTGGGTGTGCAGTCTGTTCTCACCCTAGCGATGGCCTGTTCTGGTGGGTCTCTTTGACATCTAGATTTATCCAGGTCTGCCCTGTGTCCCAGCAAGAGGCAAGAACTGGACACCACCTGGTCTTTGATCAAGATTCTTCTTTGTGACAAGATAACTTCCTGTCTCAGGACTGTTACGCTTGAATATTGGCTTTCTACAGCACATAACAGGCTTAATTTTTTCTCCTTCTTTTCCAACACTAGTATAATACTAAAGTTAGAATACAATTTTGAGCAAAAGTCAAATGCAAAATAATTATGAGGGCTGGGAAGGTGGCTCAGTGGAGGGTATTTGCTTCACATGCATTAGGCCCTGGGTTTGATTCCTTAGTACCACGTAAACAGAAAAAAAAGCCAGAAGTGGTGTTGTGGATCAAGTGGTAGAGCCACTAGCCTTGGGCTGGAGAGCTGAGCACAGCACTCAGGCCCAGAGTTCAAGCCCCATGACCAACAAAAATTATGAATGAGATGGTACTGTTTTCATTAGTCATTTGGGATTATGAATGGCAGTTTTTTTTTCTATTTTTCTGTAGCTTTCATCCTCCATAATTTTTTCATTCAGCCTGCTTTATTTCTTAAAAAAAATTAAAAGCCTTTGAAAATACAGATATATGGCATCCTACTCTCTAAATACATCATTTGGTGCCTCTGAATAATGAATGACCTTTTCTTTCATCATCAAATTGTGCCCAACAATTATTAATAAATAATTATTAATAAACAATTTCTTGATGTCTTTCTGTATAGTTAGTTCATAATCAGATTAGCTCAGTTTTCTCAAGATATCATGAATTGTTTTGATCAAATCAAGTTCTAATCTAGTGCCATGCACTCTGGGTTGTTTTGTCCTTTAAGTCTATTTCAGTCTAAACTAGTTTGTTTTTTTTTTTTTTTGGAGACTGAACTCTGGGCCTGGGCACTGTCCCTCAGCTCTTCAGCTCAAGGCTAGTGCTCTACCACTTGAGCCACAGGCCACTTCTGGCTTTTTTCTTTTTGCTTATGTGGTGCTGAGGAATCAAACCCAGGGCCTCAGGCATGCAAGGCAAGCACTCTACCACTGAGCCACCTTCCCAGCCCTAGTTTTGTTTCTTGATAGTGGCAGGCTGAAGACTGAGAGTTCTTACTTAGATTTGAGTAAGAAGTTAGATTTAAAGGCTGGGCTACAAGTTTAAGATGAAGTTTTTAGCCTGAGGTGGCTCAGGCCTTGTAATCTAGTTGCTCAACAAGCCAGCCCAGGCAGAAAAGTCCTAGTCACTTGATCTCCAATTAACTAGCTGGGGTCATGGCTTAAGCACTAGCTCTGAGCAAACAACTTGAGTGAATGAATGAGCAAGCTCTGGGTTCAAACTCTAGAAGAAAAATTAAAGGCTATTATTATTATTGGCAAAGGTTGATATGTGTTACACAATATTAAAGAGTATTGTCCTAAAGGGTAAGACAACCTAAACTTTGAGCTTATTTCGGAGGGCTTTAGGGGTCAATGAATTCCACGAAACTGCATGTAAGTCTTTGTGTTCATTCGTATTTTATTTATAGGAAAAAGCTTTTAGTTTTAATTGATCCAACCCTAAAATGCTTGAGAAGACTAGTAGGCAGAGTGACTGGAATTCAGTTAGCTCAAAGGCTATCGCTGAGTTTGGGTTCTTGCCTCAGACTGGAAATACTGGGCCTTTTTATTTTTTCCTCCCCTCTGGAGACAGGGTTGAGTTATGAAGCCTGGATTGCCTTTGAGTTTTGGGCCATTTATTATTAACTGATCAACACCCTGACTTTTTTCTTTTAGTCCTTTAATTTATGACAGTAACCCTAGAGATGAAGTAGTCAGTGTTTAGAGCCATGTTTCTTCTCTTGCCTTTGGGGCAAGGGGTAGGTAGGAGAAGGGACTCTTGTCTTATTTTATAATCCCAGCAGCACCAGCTAGCTAACAAACTTCCATTTTCCTCAGGGGATGGGAAGGGTTCCAGAGATGGGCTGTGCTCTCTGACACATACTTTGTCCTTTTGAGGCAAAGTACAGAAGTTAAATATATCATAGCCTTCTTTTCCTCTGCTGGTTGGTAGTGCCGGCAGCAGCCTCAGTCAAGTCAAGAGATTTCTATTTCATGGACTGAGAGATCAGGTGGTGGAGTGAGTCAGAACTGGGCTCTCCAAAGCCCCCTTCCTCCAGCCTGTGTTCTCGGATGCTGGCAGAAGGAGCACTGGTCCATGAAAGTGGCTGTCAGATTAGCTTGTGCTTTTGATTGTTCTTTTCTTAGTAAAGAGGATCTGACTTTGAAGAAGGACCTTAGCTAGTGCCTTGGCTATTAGATCTGAAGCCTGGCTGCAGTAAAAAAATTTAAGACTCTCTTCTATGATCAACTACTGTATTTATTTATTTATTGCCTGTCCTGGGGCTTGTGAACTCAGGGCTTGGGTACAGTCTCAGAGCTGCTTTTGCTCAAGGCTAGCACTCTACCACTTAAGCCACAGCGCCACTTGTAGCTTTTTCTACGTATGTGATACTGAGGAATCAAACCCAGGGCTTCATGCATGCTAGGCAAGCACTCTACCACATTCTCAGCCCTACTTTATTTTTTTGTGGGTCTCCCAGCACCAAATTGTGGGAGGACATGAGGTAGAGGGGAGGGGCCTTGGAAGGAAACGATGTTCAGAGGTAGTGTGATGTTTTTTCTCAACTAGGACTGCCTTTAGATCTAGATTTTAATTTGCTTTTACTCTGGTAGCAGTCACCAATTGTTCTGTGGCTCAGTTAGAGTGGTACTAGTGGAGTGTGTTGAACTTCAGGAGCAAGATAAAGAGAGGTTATTGGGTTGAAAGTCTCACATAAGCTAGTTAACCTCATTTAGTAATAGGAATTTCTCCAGTGAGAATACAAGAAAATGCATTTATATTCTGCATTGCTTGCCAGCAGTATGCCTGGTCTATTATTTGTTCTTTATTGGTTTCTGTGCTAAATGAATTATTGGGCAGTGTTGATATATTCTTACTGAATTGTGAAAAAGAATAAAGGAAAATATTGAAGAAAAGTATCTGTCAGCTTCCCTTGTCAAAGAGAAGAGACCCTTACAAAGACACTAATGAAGCAGTATTAAATGGGTTTCTTATTTTTTTTGTTTTTGTTTGTTTTGTTTTTTTGGGTCTGGTTGTGGGGCCTGAACTCTGGGTATGGGCACTGTCCTTCAGCTTTTCAGCTCAAGGCTACCACTCTACCACTTGAGCCACAGCACCACTTCCGGCTTTTTTTCTTTTTGCTTATGTGGTGCTGGGAAATCGAACCCAGGGCCTCGGGCATGCAAGGCAAGCGCTCTACCACTGAGCCACCTTCCTAGCCCCTAAATGGGTTTCTTAATAGGTGTTTTATAAATTCTTTCTTCTGGCAGAAAGTTTTGTCACCCCAGGGCTTATGTGACCGGTTGGCTCCTCTCCTAGTCATCTAGCTGAGAGACAGGCCCTCTTTTCATTTTCCTTTGGTCCTCTGTGCCCAGGCCTCCTTGTCTCCAGTATGGCTTTCCTATCTGTGCTGCCTGGGCTCCCCTCCCAGCTGGAGGAGTGGCTGTTGATCTGGATCTCTGTGTTGCAGGTGGCAGACACCTGTGTGCTCCTTGCTGACCTGCCTGGGCCTCAACATCTTGTTCCTCACTTTGAATGAAGGTAAGAATGGCTTCCAAGGGGTCAGTGTTTTGTGTTTTTTTTTTTGAGAATGAAGTGGAGGAACACTGAAATGTGGCAGTGTTTGAGGGGACCTTTCTCTGAGTGAGTTTCCCTCTGCTTGGTATCAGAACAGAGGCTCCAGAGGGATGATCCATGTTGTTTGACCTTGGACAAATTATTTAACGCACTGTTGAGACCTAAGTGTCCTTTTGTCTAAGGGGGATATCACTAGTGCTTTCCTCACAGGGTATTTATTTGTGAGGAATGAGCGTGCATACCACATTGCTTTATAGCGGCTGTTACTGTTACTGTTCTCCCTTTCTTGACTGATGGCTGATGACTGATGACTTTTTGTTTGCTTTTCTAACTGATTCGGGGGTCCTTGGGGCCATCCCGTGGGATAAGGGTCCTAGGAATTTGGGCTGAGGAGGGACTTCTTGCCATATGCATTCTTTTCTCTGGTTCTGCAAGTGAGTCTAGGGGGGGCCTGCTGGGCAGCCACCAGCAGTGAGGAGAGGCACAAAGCCTAGAAGAAGGTGTGGACAGGTGGGTAAACATATTGGCCCCGGATGGTGATCTCTCCTGGATCTACTGATAGTATTTTCTGTGACTCAACCCTTGCTTGGGTTGGAACCGCAGCTGGTTATAGAATTAGCCCTAGGAGAAATGAGGGAAGGGTCTGGGATAGAATGCTCTATGGGGCTAGTCTTTATGTTTTTTCTTACTTTGTGTTCTATTTTTGTGACTCCTTTGTTTCTGGTGGAGGTAGTGTTTTAATTGGTTAAAAGTAAACCCAGTTTGTGCAAGATTTCATCTTTTTTTTTGTGTGTGTGCTGGTTCTGGACTTTGAACTTGGGGCCTAGGCATTATCCCTTAGCTTCTTTTGCTCTACCACTTGAGCCAAGCTCCACTTCCAGCCTTTTGGTGATTAATTGGAGATAAGAGTCTCACAGAGTTGGTGGTTCATGCATATAATCCTAGCTACTCTGGAGGGTGATATCTGAGGATCATGTTTTAAAGCCAGCTGGGGCAGGAAAGTGTGTGAGAAAACTGGAAGTGGCTCTGTGGCTCAAGTGGTAGAGCACTAGCCTTGAGCTGAATAGCTCAGGGATTGTGCCAGGCCCAGAATTCAAGCCCACAACCGATTAAAAAAAAAGAGTCTTACACATTTTGCTGCCTGGGCTAGGTTCAAACCATGATCCTCAAATCTCAGCTTCCTGAGAAGCTAGGATTACAGGCATGAGCCACCGGAGCCTGGTTCATCTTTTTCTTAATCTCTTCATTGATCAAAATTTGCCAGCATGATAGGTTTCTTTGAAGATATTTCTGAAGTATGTCAGTTTTTGTGACAGAAATTTAACACACATTTGTTATAGCCCGCTGCTCTCTTAGCTTCCTGTTGGGATATGATGTGATATGGGAGACATTCCCTTTTTTAATTTCATCTCAGCCTTAGTATTTCTGAGGCCTGTGTCAGAAGGCACCCTAAGAGCCAAAGGAAAGGCTTCCAGTCTGCTTTAATGGTCAGGGTGCAGGCAGGAGTCATACTACATGCTGGCAGTATTTTTTTAATGTTTTAAAGGTGAAGCTGGAACTCCATCAGTGATCACATGGACAAAGTGCCAGCTCTTAACAGCTTCCATTAGCCAAAAGTGAACACACCCATAGTCTATGGTGTGGTGATAAAAATCTATGAGGAAAAACAAAACTGGTTTCAGGAGCCTGGTGGGTGGATGAAGTACTCTGTCTTCCCTGTAGGGTGATCAGGAAAGACCTCCTAGGGAGGGCCCTGGTGGAGGTGAGGGAGTGAGCATGTAGGTGGGCAGTTCCTGGGCCTTACTAAACTATATTACTTGCAGTGTTCTTAATTTCTTAGGTGCCTGGTACTCGGTGGGTGCCCTATTGATTTCTGTGCCTGCCTTGCTGGGCTACCTTCAGGAGGTTTGCCGGGCACAGCTGCCCGAATCTGAGCTGATGCGGAGGAAGTATCACAGTGTAAGACAAGAGGACCTGCAGAAAGTTCGTCTTTCTCGACCCGAGGCCGTGGCTGAGGTGAAGAGCTTGTGAGTATCAAAGAGAGGCCTGGGAGGTGGGGAGACTAGAAATGACAGCAGCTGCTGCATAGTGCATTTGCATGTGCCAGACTTCATATTGGGTAAACCACAGATGCTACTCCATTTAATCTTCTGAACAGTTCTGGGTGGTGGTTGCTATTATCCCCACTTACAGCTGGCAAGTGAGCTGGATGAGCCTCCAGGTTCAGCCAACTTCACAGCTTGCTCTTTCCCCTAGAAACACTAACATCTTCACTAAGCACTGTGCCTCCACATGTCACTACATGGGTTCAAATCGCAGCTCTTCCACTTACTTTGTAACATTGGGTAAGTTGCTTTGCTCCTCTGTGACTCAGGTCCCACGTCTGTCAACTAGGATGATAGGGCTTACTCAGAGGGTGAAGATTACTCCAGTGTTGGGTCTGCAGAATGTGTTTAGTATGTATTATGTTTAGATGTACTATGGATAAATTCCTAAACATGACAGAGCTGATACTTTGAGGAAGCAGCTGAAGGAAGCTGAACAAAATTAATTGTTCCAACTTAGGTGGCAGCTGGACTTTTCTGTGTAGGATTTTGATATACCACAAGAGTGGCACAAGTTAGAAATAAATGTATAGCTGGGCCTGCCCAGCAATGGGGCCAGGTATCTGTTGTTGTTGCTTCTTCCTTCCTTCCTTCCTTCCTTCCTTCCTTCCTTCCTTCCTTCCTTCCTTCCTTCCTTCCTTCCTTCCTTCCTTCCCCCCCTCTCTTTCTCTCTCTCTCTCTCTTTGGTCCGGTCGTGGAGCGTGAACTCTGGGCCTGGGCGCTGTCCCTCAGCTCTTCAGCTCAAGGCTAGCACGCTACCACTTGAGCCATAGCACCACTTCTGGCTTTTTTTTTCCTGCTTATGTGGTGCTGAGGAATTGAACCCAGGGTCTCATGCATGCAAGGCAAGCGCTCTACCACTGAGCCACCTTCTCAGCCCTCTTTCTTTCCTTCCTTCCTTCCTTTCTTCCTTCCTTCCTTCCTCCCTCCCTCCCTCCCTCCCTCCTCTCTCTCTTTCCTTCCTTCCTTCCTCCCCTCCCCCCTCCCCTCTCCCTCCTCTCTCTCCTTCCTTTCTTTCTTTCTTTCTTTCTTTCTTTCTTTCTTTCTTTCTTTCTTTCTTTCTTTCTTGCCTGGCACTGTCCCTAAGCAATTTTTGCTCAAGGCTAGCATTCTGCCACTTGAGCCATAGTGCCACTCTGGCCTTTTTTGTGATTTGAGATAAGAATCTCATGGGCTGGCTTTGAGCCATGATCTTCAGATCTTAGCCTCTTGAGTAGCTACGATTACAGTCATAGAACCACCACTGGCTCCAGTGTTTGTTTCTTTTTTACTGTGGAATAACTTTAAACCTAGAGAAGAGGTACATAAATGACACAAACAGGCCCCACAGGTCCTTTACTCAGCTGGGACTATTGCTAACGTTTACTGTAATGGTTCCTGAGATCTCACTGCATTCCCCCCTCACCTCCAAACTGTTTAAAAGTAAGTTGCAAAAATAGGGGCTGGGAAGGTGGCTCAGGGGTAGAGTGCTTGGGTTCTATTCCTAGCACCACAGAAGCAGAAAAAACTGGAAGTGGCGCTGTGGCTCAAGTGGTAGAGTGTTAGCCTTGAGCTGAAGAGCTGAGGGACAGTGCCCAGGCCCAGGGTTTAGCCCCTATGACCGGAGGGAGGGGAAAAGAAAGAAAGAAAGTTGTAGATATCATGTATGTTTATCCCAAATATTTCAACGTGTATTTGTAAGAATAGGACTTCCTCTTACATATCTGTAGCACTGTAACTAGAAAGGAAATTCAATACTGCAACATTACCATGAGTCATCTACTATATGAATCATAACCATAATTTGCCAGTTGTTTTAGTAAACTTCCTATCAGTTTCCCCTGATCCAGGATACAATCTAAGATCATATGTTATATTGAGTGTGTGTGTGTGTGTGTGTGTGTGTGTGTGTGTGTGTGTGATATATGTATGTACTGGTTCTGGGACTTAAATTCATGGCCTATACATTATTCCTGAGCTTTTTCACTCAAGGCTGGAGCTCTATCACTTGAGCCATAACTTCACTTCTGCCTATTTGGTGGTTAATTGGAGAGTCTCATAGACTTTCCTGCCCTGGCTGGCTTTGAACTTCAGTCCTTAGATCTCAGCATCCTGCGTAGCTAGGATTATAGGCGTGAGTTACACTGGTGCCCAGCCAGAAGGGAAATTTAATACAATATTAGCATGAGTCATCTACTATATGGATTATAAACATAATTTGCCAGTTCGGTTAGTAAACGTCTTCCTACCAATTTCCGTGACCCATCATATATTACATTATGTTGAGGGTTTTTGTTTTTTGTGTTTTTGTTTTTGTGGTGCTGGTTCTGGGACTTGAATTCAGGGCCTAGACATTGTCCCTGAGCTTTTTCACTCAAGGCTGGAGCTCCACCACTTGAACCACCACAGCTTCACTCCTGCCTATTTGGTGGTTAATTAGAGGTAAGAGTCTCACAGACTTTCCTGCCCTGGTGGCTTTGAACCTTGATCCTCAGATCTCAGTCTCCTGAGTAGCTAGGATTAAAGGTGTAAGCCACCAGCACCAGGCTTACATTGAAGTTTTTTTTTTTTTTTTTTTGTGCTGATGGGGATCAAATCCAAAGCTTTGCATGTGGGGCAAATATTCTATTATAGAGCTGCACAGACCTCACATTCCGCTTTTCTGCTTGTCTCCTGTAACTTAGAGCCTCAGTCTTTGTGCCTCTTGATTTTGAGTACTTAAATACTACCAGCTTTTTCTTTTATAGGAGCCCCCTCAGTTTGGATAAGTTGGCTCCTCTTGGTTAGACTCAGATTATGCATCTTCGACAGGACTTTGGCAAAGAATGTGGACTTTCATGTTGGTAGCCCATAATGTCAGGAAATGTTAACTGTGTCCATTTGTGTACAGCTTCCCACTGTGCATCATTCTCTCCTTTCATTGTTAGTAATCTGAAGGGAGATACTGTGAGGCTCATCAAACATACACCCACTGTTTTAAAACTACTCATGGTCTTTCCTTAATCACCTTATTACTGTGATGGTTGGAGAGATGATTTTCTGATTACCATTCTGTCTATATTAGTATGAGCTCATATTATCAGTATGAGCTCTTAGATTTTTATTTGATTCTGTGGGTTGTAATCTATTGCCTTCATTTGTTTTCATCTCAGATTGTTCTAGATTTGGCTAGTGGGACCACTTTAGAGTTGCTTTTTGTGTCTCCATCATTTCCCAGTGCTTCTGTTATGGTACAGTAGGATGTTTGCATTCATCTTTTACCTCCCCTGCTTCAGCTCTGAAGCAGACATTTTTCCAAGGGGCCTGGATAGATAGATAGGCTGGATCTGGGTGCCAGATGTGCTCATGCTTCTGGGGTTTATCTCTGTTAACAGAAACTTCCCAGGTGGTCGACCTTACATCTTAGGTGAGCAGACATTGATCTGCCATTTATCCTCCTGGTGCCATGTACCCACGGTGCTGTGTACCTGTGGGGTGGGTCTTCGTTTACTCACTTGACATATGAGGGAACTTCAGCAGTGGGACACTTAGGTAGCTTGGCTGACATCCATAGTTAGCAAGAACAGAAGCTCTGAACTGGTTCCCCCATAGGATAGGATTAAGAATGGGATGGAACAATACCTGGGGCAGTTTGGCAAGACCCTCTTACCCCCCACTCTTGAGATTCAGGCAGTGCATTCAAGGAGGTGGAATACCTATTTCTGCCTGTGGTCCCAGGCTCTGCCTCCACAGACTTTCATCCTGCCCAGTGAGTGGGCAGGGCAAAGCCTGCCCACTCATAGGAGCCCCTGTGTCTGCAGCTTGATCCAGCTGGAGGCCTTCTTGACTCGCCTGTGCTGCACCTGTGAAGCTGCCTACCGTGTGCTGCATTGGGAAAACCCTGTGGTATCGTCTCGGTGAGTGGCCCCTCCCCCTCCCCACCTCCACTTCCCTGTTGGAATTGGCAGCTTGAAGCCCTCCCCTGCCAAGCAATGGCAGCTATCTTGAAATGGTTTGAAAGGTAGGTCCCCTCCTACCTTGGGGGGGGGGGGGAGAGAGCGTCCTATGCTATGTGTATAGATCTGCAGGGGTACTGTTGAGCTCTAATTTGTTGCTATTGTTTAGATGCTTTGAAAAAAAGTGTAGCAAAAGTACTTTAATAATAGACAAATCACTCACCATGTAATCTACCACTTTGAATATAGCAGTTCATCTCATGTTCAGCTTTCTTCTATAGTTGGTCATAGGTATATACTTTATAGATACATAGCTTCATAGTGTTTTGAAACTTCCTTCCCTCATTTTCTCCCTTCCACTGGAATGAATATGTTTGAAGCTCTACATAGGAATAATAACTATAATTAATTTATTCAGTCTTCACTTTGTGTCAGATACTGTATCTTAATCTTCATAGTAATCCCATGAGGTAGATGCTGTTGTAATCCCCCTTTTATGGGTGAAGGAAGTTAAGTAATACTCAGAGTGCAGGACGTGTGCAAAGAGAAATAGCAGAGCTAGAATCGCATTCCAGGCTGTCTGTAGACGTCAGAGTCTAGTTCCTGAGTGTGATAACAGTTGATCCATTCATGTGCCCTAGCCTCAGACACCAACATAGTCTCACCAGTCAGTTGTCAGTTGTTAGAAACCAGTGACTTGTTGATACTTCGAAGTCCTTTCTCATCATGATTTTTATACTGGTTTGATGTGTAGTAAAAAAAAAAAGTTTGCATATAAAAAAGCAGTATAAAAAAGAAAGTTTAAAGCCGGGCACCTGTGGCTCACACCTATAATACTGGCTACTCAGGAGGCTGAGATCTGAGGATCACGGTTCAAAGCCAGCCCGGGCAGGAAACTCTGTGAGACTCTTATCTCCAATAAACCACTAGAAAACCAGAAATGGCGCTGTGGCTCAAGCAGTAGAGCACTCGGGACAGTGCCCAAGCCCAGGGTTCAAGCCCCATGACTGACAAAAAAAAAATTTAGCCAGGTGCTGGTGGTTCATGCCTGTAATCCTAGCTACTCAGGAGGCTGAGATATGAGGATCATGGTTCAAAGACAGCCTGGGCACGAAAGTCCATGAGTCTCTGATTAACCACCAGAAATCCAGAAGTGTCACTGTGGCTCAGCGCCCAAGCCCAGAGTTCAAGCCCCACAGCCAAAAAACAAATCTGTTTCTCACCTATATCCCTATGTGAGTGTGCTTAGTCTAAACCTGTTTCCTTCTGATTTTGTGAATTTCTTTTGATCTTCCAGGTTCTATGGGGCTCTTCTGGGCACAATTTGTATGCTGTATCTGCTGCCTCTCTGCTGGGTCCTTGCCCTTTTAAACAGTACACTGTTTCTGGGGAATGTGGAGTTCTTCCGAGGTAAGCCCTAGAGAGCCTGACATTTGGGGCACAGACTGGTCAGCAGCGGTTTAGGCCCTCTGCTTCATCTCTGTAGTTCTTTGCCTGTTACTGTCCTTTCCACAAGGGGGCAGCACCACACTGGGGTCCTCTGGAGGACCCTAGATCCCTGAGGATGACATCTCTCCAGGGAGGCTGCCATGTGCAGTCCTCTTTCTTTCTAAAGCAGATGAATCATTGCTTCCTGAGATTGGTGGCTTCTGGGAGATGGAGCAGTGTTTTCCCCAAATTCTGCCTGTCCCCTGGGTAGCAGCCACCTGGAGTTGCTGCTACATCTCTGTGTGATTACAGTCTGCTGTCTGGCTTCTAAAGTGCTGAGACAGTCTTGTTACTTGAATGACTGTGTTACATTTGTTTTCCACCCTCTGCTGGGGTAATAATCACAGAAGCTGCAACTTAGGGCACACCTACCACACTGATCTTTAGTGGTCTGGGTTAATGATGCCTGTGTTCCTCATGAGGCTTAGGTTGGGTGACTTGCCCAGTTAGGAAGGCAGCTCTTTCAGTAGCAGTGGGTGGGGCACTTGGTGGAAGTTGCCGCCCCCAGAGTACTACTTACTCTGTCTTGTATCTACCTCCTACCCTGTTCTCCTTGCTCTGGGTAGTGGTGTCTGAGTATAGGACATCTCTGCGGCGGCGGATGAACCCCAAGCAGCAACAACGAGTCTTTGAGAGCCCACTACTTCCAGATGTTGGGGGGAAAGGTATTCTTCTGGATAGCACGCCTGCCCCCACTCCCACAGAGGTGAGTACTCCTTGGTCATCCCAAGAGCTGCTGAGAGCACATGGGGGTCCTCCTTCTAGCAGCTTGCTTATATAGTACATAGTTCCAGGACTGGCCTCTGATGTGATTCCTGCTCCTTCCTGGGCCTGATCTCTGGTGTGCTTAATAATAAGCATAATAAAAATAACTGCCCTGCACTTTATTGAGTACCTACTGTGTCAGATTCTGTTCTAAGTGCCTTATAGATATTCCTGCAAGGAAGGTAAGTTGTGTCTGAGAGTAGCAGAAGAAAAGGCTGAGCCACAGAATGGATGCCTAAGGCATCCTTGCTAGTGAGTGGTGCCACTGGGTCTTAGTCCAGGCCCTGTGGTTCAGAGCTATGCTCTCAGCCACTGAGGACCAGCTGTGATCTTGTGCCCATCTTCCTGCCCTGAAGGGTTAGAGGTTGTTTTCTTTCCCATGACTCACTACTTTTTGAAATGGTGCCATTTCCTCTGGGGTAGGAACCTGAATGCTGGCTCAGGGAAGATGGCCCTCTACTGTACAGCCATCATCCTTCCTGTATGTGACTGAGACTCTCTTTCTAGGACCTCACACCAGGCAGTGTGGAGGAGGCTGAGGAGGCTGAACCAGATGAGGAGTTCAAAGATGCAATAGAGGTGTGTGGCCCTTCCCCAGCATGCTGTATGACCTGGGTGTTCCTGGAGCTGAGGGTTTTATTTTTCAATATTCACACGAGAAGCCAAAACTTATCTGAGCGAGAGCTTATAGGTTGAAATGGGGCTACTGACCCCTCGATCCCTGCTCTGTGGCCCATCTAGTCATCTGTTTTGGGTTCCTAGGGCAGGGGTGGCTTTTCAGGTGTTGTAGAAACTCCACCGGGGGCTTGTAATTTCTCTCTTTGGTGGCAGGTTGGAGGGCAGGTTGGAGGAGGGCTTCACTGTGCCTCTGCTACTCTGCGTTCTGCAGAGTGAATTCCTCACTGTTCTTTTCAGAGGTTGGAGAAAGTGCATTGCATGGTTAAGTTTGAGGTCAGGGGAAGTTCAACAGTTGTCTTGGTTTTAGGACAGTGGTTTGAACTAGTGTTTTGCATACGTGTCTTATTTGGCTTAAAAACTTTTAAAATTGTTTTTTTTGAGCTGGTGTTTAAAAATGATGAAATTTTATTTAGAACTCTAGGAGTAGCCTTGAGGCCACTGTCTCCTTTAGATAAATCCTGTATTACAGTTAATGGCCATTGCTATTTATTGTCATCTTTGCTTTTTTGTAGGGGAGGCAGTGCTGGCATTTGAACTTAGGGACTTGGCTTGTTTGGCAGGTGCCCTACTGCTTGAGCCATGCCCCCAGCTCTTTTTGATTTTGTTACTTTTTCAGATAGGATCCTATGCTTTTTTGTCATACGATCTTCCTACTTATGCTTCCCTTGTAACTGGCATTCTGCCTGCCTTTTTGCTAACTTTTTTTTTTGTCGGTTGTGGGGCTTGAACTCTTGGACTGGGCACTGTCTCTCAGCTTTTCAGCTCAAGGTGAGCACTCTACCACTTGTGCAAGCCGTGCCACTTCCGGTTTTCTGGTGGCTTATTGGAGATAAGAGTTTCATGGACTTTCCTGCCTGGGCTGGTTTTGAACTGGGCTTTGAACTGTGATCCTCAGATCTCAGCCTCCTTAGTAGCTAGATTATAGGTGTGAGCCACTGGTGCCTGGCTTTTTGCTAACTTTTTTGCCTAGGCTATCTTCAAACTGTGATCCTCCTGATCTCTACTTTCTGAATACCTGTGATTATAGATGTGAGCCATTTCACCTGTTCCTGACCAGATTATTGTTTTTCTTAGAATAGGAAATAATTTCTCTTTATGTCTCTCTCTCTCTCTTTTTTTTTTTTTTTTGCCAGTCATGGTGCCTGAACTCTGGGCCTGGGCACTGTCCCTCAGCTCTTCAGCTCAAGGCTAGTGCTCTACCACTT